GTCCAAAGGTTTGAGCCCCTCCTCTCATGCAGTAAGCCTCCTTTCAGGGAGAAAGCACTATTGGCTATATCCTTGTCCTCATTGACGTTTCTCTCTTCATTCTCTTTTGGGCTATAATTCATGTTTCAGATCTTTTCTAGGTGCAGTAGAACCACTTTTTTCCTTCTTGTCTTCCTCATGTTGCTATATTTCAGTGCCCAGATGGTGACTCTCAGAGAGGCTCTTTCTCTGATGCTTACCACTCTGCCATCTTGGTGATCCAACAAAGAAAAGAGAAAGGTGGGAGGGTGCCCTGTGCTCCTTGAGGTGCTCCTCGATGATTCTACTACCACTCAGTAGGCCCTGCCTTCTAAAGGATTGATCATCTCTTAATAGCATCTCCTAGAAACCAAGTCTCCAATCCATGAGCCTTGGGGGGTATTTAAAACCCAAGGCAGATACTGTTAGTAGCCACTAGTAATGAATTTTGGAAAATTTACAGATATGTAGAAATTAAGTAACACTATGGACCACAGAGGAAATCAAAAGGGAATAAAAGTTTCTTTTATTTTAAAATTTTATTTGTTTTTATTAGTACAAGTTTGCAGTATATGCAGTTTACAATTGTCTTGGGGAGGAGGTACATGTACGTAGTACAACTTGTTTCTTTTTAAAATCCTCTTCCCTCTCCTTCCCTCTCTCCTGTAATTCCCCTTTTCCCATTTCATTCTTGTTGATATTATTAATCTTAGCTCATGCTTATGGCATATAATGTTTATGGTCATCGAAGTTTTGAGGTTCTTTTTTTTGGGGGGGGTGGTGGAACCAGAATTGAACTCAAGCCCTTGAACTTGTCAGGGAAGTGCTTATTCTACTGAGCCATCTCCCCAACCTGAAGTTTTCAGGTTCTTGTGCATGGCATACTTTTATTCTATTTATTCCTGTCCCCAGTTTCTTGGACTCTTTCTTATTTGTAAGATATCCATCTCCTTTTATCTTTCCTTTATTTTTCTCTTAGTTTGTACTTTGCCTTATTCAAATGAGAGATACCATATGCTATGTAAGTTTATGTGTCTGTTTTTTTCATTCAACATTGTATTTTCCAGGTATACTCATTTTCTCAGAAATATCTCAAATTTGTGCTCCTTTATAGGTGAGTAGTATCCCATTATATGTACATTTTCTTTATACACCTGTCTATTAATAGGTACTCAGTCTGCTTCCAGGATTTCGCTATTATGGGTTGTGCTGCTGTAAACATTGGTATGCATGTACAGTATTGCTGAGGTATGATATCTTAAGCTCTTTGGGGAAGATAACTAGAGGGGGATAGCTAGGCAATATGGAATTTCTAATTTTAGTGTTCTGAGAAATCTCCATATTGATTTCTATCATGGCTGTGCTACTCTACATTCCTACAACAATGTAGGAGGGTTCTCTTTTTACCACAGTCTCTCTAGCATTTGTTAATTTTTGATTTATTGATGACTGCCATTCTTTCTGGAGCACTGTTTTAATTTGCATTTCTGTAATGACCAGAGATGTTGAATATTTCTTTATATTTGTTGGCCATTTATACTTCTTCCTCTGTGAAGTGTCTAGTCATTTCATTTGCCTAATAAAAAAGATTGTTGAGAAAAAAGCACCTTAAATGATGTAGCAAACATGGTTTAAAAAAGAAATTTATGCCAAATATATGCAAATTAGTAAAAAAGATCTTTATGGCTGAGGTGATACCTCATTGGTAGAGTACCTGCTTGGCCTATATAAAGTTCTAGATTCCATCCCCTGTATATCACACACACACACACACACACACACAACACACACACAACACAATTTCAAATAAACAATCTCACAACCTAACTTTGATTTTATAAACTCAAGGAATTAGAAAAGAAAGAATAAGTGAAGCCTAAAGAGAGCAATAGGAAAGAAATGATAAAGATGATAGCAGAGATAATTGAAATAGAACTAGAAACACAATAGAAAAAAAAATCAGTGAAGCCAGGAATGGTGGCACATGCTTGTAATCTCAGCACTTGGCAGGCAGATCAATGTGAGTTTGAGGCCAGTGCAGACTATATGGTAGTTTAAGACTACTATGA